ATTTAATATATTTTTGGGGGGGCGCTCTGATGACGGGGGCGTGGAATCATGACTGATAAAATAATGTCAGCTGCTGCTTTCAAGATTTGTAGGAACTGAAAATGTTTTTAAAATATCATCGACTGATCTTGAAAAATATCATGTTTTACTTAAAAAAGGTGCTTATGTACACGACACAAATCTTAGTGGAAAAAATATGTTAGTAACATGTTTTAACCAGTTTTCACTTCCTTTAGTTTATATATATTTAACCATCTTTATGGCACTAGTTTAGCTCCATATGTCTTAGTTTGTATTCTCTTGAGACAAATGTATTTTAATGAGAGTTCTGCTTAAATAAAGGAAGTTAATAAACTTCTATTTTTTATGTTTAAAAATATTTAAAGCTTTTTTTAACTCTTGAACATATTTCTGTGTATTTTCCATTATAAATACATTAAAAGATTAAAATAATATAGCAGCAAAGTAAGTTTATGACCTGTGAAATGTTCTGGTTTAGTTTTTTTTTTTTAATGTTTCTGTTTGTGCCGACTGGACTCMGGTGGGGGTTTGGTTTTTCCTGGACCTTCAGGTGCCAGGTAACCTCCCTGCCTTTCACAGCTCCCAGTTTCGRTCACATGACTCCAGTTTGGCCGGAGCTAACGGAGCGGGACCAGAGATACTCACAGAAGGTCCTTTCTTCTCCGTTCAGGTGTTTTGATAAGACGCAGTTTCATTCAAGCCTGGAGGACTTGAGGTCCACGTGGTCTCTGAGAGCCGGCTCTGAGTCCACTGAAACTGGAGTTAATCTTTTAAAATGTTCCCGTCAGAAACAACATTCAGAAAAAATTCTTCTTTAAATTCTGACTTTTCCTGATTCTACTGCTCTTTAAATCTAAGTACTTCTGCACATTGAGCTTTTTTTTTTAGCTCATATCCAAATGTTCGGCTCATTCAGGACACGGTTGCTGTGACTTTTCTTTGTATTTGCAAATATTTATCCATAGAAATACATTCAGTTTCTTTAAAAACTTTATTCTCTTTGAAATCTATTTTTAGATTTTTATCTTTTTGTGCTACTTTTAGTGTTCAACTCTGCCTTTTTTAGCTAGAGTTTTGATACTTTTCTGTTATATTTTGCTACTTTAGTTTTAAGTTAGCAATTTGTTGTTTAGCTTTTAGCTAGTGTTCTGTTCATTTTGAGATAGCTTTTGCTTTTTTGGCTTTTAGCTAGCCTTTAAATAGTTGTATGTAGCCTTTTGCTAATGTAGCTACTCGCTGGCATTTTAAGCTATTAAGTCTGATACTTTGTTTTTTAGCCAGTCTTTTTCTATTTTAGCTTTTAGTTAGCCATTTACTATGTTTACTAGCATTTTTCAATGTTTAGCTTTAAGCTATGTTTTATTGTTTTTCATTTTTAGTTTGATGTTTGCTAGTTTTAGCTTTTTGCAAGCTTTTTCTTATTTTTGATTTTGTAGCTTTTAACACTTTTATTAGCACTTTTAGCTTTTTGATAGCTTTTTCTGTATTTAGCTATTAGCTACTATTCTTTTACTTTTTGTATTTAAATGTACTTTTACTTTTTAAGTTTCTATCCTATTTTAGCTTAGCTAGTATTTTGCTGCTGAATGAACTAATCCGGCCCGCGGGCCACCAGTTGAATAGCCCTGCTTCTAATGCCTCGTTGATTTCAGTTGATTCAGCTCTACGCTGAATCTTCATAAAAAACTTTTTTCTCTCGTTTCAAACTGTTTCACAGTTTCCTCTACACTTATAATCTATTTTAATTTAAAAACAGTTTGCTCATCAAAAACTTCGGCTGATAATAATCTGAACGTTTCTTCATGTCTGATTCTGAGTCAGAGGAGCAGGGAGTGATGATCTCTGATCAAATCTAACATCTGACGGCAATAAGCAGGAAACTCCTACTTTAAATGATCTTGTGTATTTTCAACTTAATCTGTAGTAATCTGTAGTTACTGTAATCTGTAATAATCTGTAGTTACTGTAATCTGGAGCAGATTATTGGAAGCGACACTGATCCTGTAAAGTGATCCGGCCTCAGCAGTGCTCACTAATATTTACCGTGAAATGTTGGTGAATTTTTCATGCGTGTGCCTTCGGCTCTTTGTCTTCAGGTGTGGCGGCTCATGTTCTGGCTGAAAGGGTGGGAGTCATGGTTGCCGTGACAACGGGGGTTTTAATCTGAGTGAATTAAATTAGTTGGATTAAAGCCATAAAACAATGGGACAGATCAGCTCAGATGTAAGACACTCTGTTCCTCTGCGCTCACACTCCTCGCCTCCTGCCTGTTCACTGATCTTTGACTAATTGTTCTGTGTGTGTGTGTGTGTGTGTGTGTGTGTGTGTGTGTGTGTGTGTGTGTGTATGTGTTCTTGTTTATGGTACAGAGTGAGAACCGTGGTAAGTGATGTCATTTTTGGGACATTTGAGGACATTTTCCCGGTCCTCATTTCTTTTTCCAGTTCTACTGTGGTTTATTAGTTAGATTCAGAGGTATGCTGTGAGTTAAGTTCTGGTTCAAGTTAGGGTTAACTATAGACCAGTAATGGCTAAWTTYACTAGTTAGGTTTAGAGGTWTGGAATTAWGTTCTGGTTCAGTTTAATGTTAACTATAGACCAATAATGGCTAAATTCACTAGTTAGGTTCAGAGGTATGG